TACTTTAAACATCTTTCTTTACTTGCGACGCGTGCCCACTATTTGGCCTGCTCATGGGGAGAGAGGCCGGCGTCTCCCTGGGAGGAGCCGGAGCTGAGCTTCTGCTCTGAAGGCGGCGGCTGCCTCTAGACATCCAAGGAGACAGATTTAGCGCGTGTTTCAAAAGGCATTTCCAGCCTTTAATTCCGAGATGCCATTCTCGGCCGCCCGGCCCCTGCCGGGTGCCAGCCTCCCGGCTCCCCAGTTCCTTTCTGGGCTCACAATACCTGCTCTTGGATGAATCACAAATCTAGGACAACCAGCTGGAAGTGGGACAGGCAACCCGCTCTTGATCAACATCAGGGAAGGAAGAACCAGAAAGTCAGAGGGAGGAGGCGGGTGGCCACCCGGGAAGCAGGTGGTGGTGCCCGACTCCCAGCAGGGACCTCAGGCAGGAGAGCACAGGAGCCCCCAGGGTGGCGGGACAGGCCCTGTAGCCTGGATGCTCGGCCAGGCTGAGAAACACGCTGAGCCCTGGTTCCCATAAATCCGGCTTTTATGCGGCGATGAATGAGCTGAACAATGGATCTGTCTCAGGCCGCAGAGAGCAGGCCCCGCCTGGGTCTCCCTCCCACCGTAGGAGCCTCAACAGGGTGGGCCCTGTGGTCTCGGGGCCTGTAAGCCTCATGCAGACAGACGCCTGCTTGGGAGTCAGCGAGGACAGTCCTGGTCACCGGGGGTCTGTGGTGGCCCGGCCTCCTCCCCAGCCACAGGAGGAAGTGCTTTGGCGGGGCCAGCTGCCTGCTGGCCCCTTCGTCCCATTGTGGTGGGCATGGATTGGCCCTTGGCCTTGGGTGGTATCTCCCAACTTTCCCCAGGATGGGAACCCCTCCACTGACCCCTCCCACACGGCGCCAGCCTCTTCACAAACTCTCCTCCCTGCTGGAGCCCACCCTGCAGACGTCTCACAAGCTGCATCTGCTCCACCAGCCACCACCACTGCCTCACTCTGCTGTGGCCCTCAGCCCTCCCACACCCCTGAGTGGACACAGTGTGCTGGCTGCAGGTGGAGCCAGTCAGCCACTTCTCCTGGGCAGCACGCCCTGCAACACACACCATGGTCCAAAGGGCACAGATACCCTCCCCCAGATAAGTGTCCCTGTAAAGTTCATGTTCTCCAGACTGTCATCAACGTGGCCCCAGCCCTCCCCCAGGTGAGGACGGCAGCGGGACCTTAGCACCCACTGCCCTCACTCAGCTCAGGGCCTCACTGGTTTATTTGCACCAAGCACCCACAGGGAGAAATGCTGCCAGCCTAATCCCCAGCTCCCAGCCTCACCCCTCAAGCAGCCGCTCTCACTTCTACAGCTGGTCTGCTCCTACACATTTCCAAAGAATAGGTTTATACTCTGTGATGGTTAATTGTATGTGTCACCTTGGCCAGGCCATGATAACCAGTTGTTTGGTGAAACACCAGTCTAGATGTCACTGTGAAGGTATTTTTTTAGATGAATGTAGATGGCCTAGCATTATGTGGGTGGGCCTTGTCTAATCAGTTGAAGTCTTTAAGAGAAAAGACTGAGGTTTCCCAAAGAAGAAAGAATTCTGCCTCCAGGCTGTCTTTGGACTCAAGACGGTACCATCAGCTCTACCCTAGGTTGACATCAACCTGCTCTTTAGATTTTGGATTTGCCAACCTCCCCAATCCCATGAACCAATTTCTTAAAATCAATCTCTCCTCTCTCTCTCTCTCTCTCTCTCTCTCTCTCTCTCTCTCTCTCTCTCTCTGTACACACACATCCTATTGGTTCTGTTTCTCTGGAGAACCTTGACTAATATACACTTTGTGATGAGCAGCCTCTGAAGTGGCCCCTGGGGCCATCCTGCCCTATCCACCGCCCCCCCCCCCGCACACACTTTCCCCAACTTCACACACAGTCTCCCAAGCCTGCCTCAGACCACCGTCTTCCCCACCCACCCTGCCAACCCCCTCTCCTGGCCATCCTTCAGTGTATCTGCTCCAAGTCAGCCCGAGACTGAATTCCCAGGAAAGACCTTTTCCCTCCAGCCTTGCAGAGACCAGACCCCATGCCCCAGCCACTGCTGCAGAAGAGAGGGGTCCAACAGGGCCGCTCAGAGACCAGGCAGGCCACCCACACTGGGAGCCTGGGAGAGCAGGATGGCCGCGCAGAGGGGCCTGTGGAGAAGCTTGCCCACACAGAGCTTCCAAATGCAATGAAAACACACGCCTTTGAGGACTAAACATCCCACATGGACCCACCCTGAGGGCTGCTGGTGAGCCTCTGCTCTGGCTTTGCTGCCTGGAGAGAGAGATACCGGGAGCTGGGCAGGGGCATCGGAGCTGGGCAGGGGCATTGGAGCTGGGCAGGGGCATCGGAGCTGGGCAGGGGCATCAGAGCTGAGCAGGGGCATCTGGCTGGGCAGGAGGAGAGCACTTCCCATCTGACCCAGGACCTTGCTGGCCCCTCTCCTCCGGGGTGAGGAGGGCCTGACGCAGGCTGCCTCCTCTGTGGTCTGGAACCCATGGTTGGACAAATTAAACTTGAGTAACTGTCCAGTATGGTTGGACAAATTAAACTTGAGTAACTGTCCAGTAGCTGCTGTCCTTTTCCGGCTGCAGTCCATCTCAGCTGAACCGGGACCTGATCAGAAATCCCCACAAGTCAGATGAAGAAAGGGGAGATTTTTAAGAAGCATCATATGGGCTGCAGACACGTTGGCTGTGAAACCTGTACTGTACTGTACCTTCGCTGTCTGGGCTTGGACCATCTATTCTTTCCACACTCCACTTTGGAGCCCAGCTTCAGGGATTCTGGGGGAATGGCTCCCCCTGGAGCCCACTCCTGGGACGCACAGTCCCTGCTTTCAGGTTTGGGTTTCAAAGCCTGGATCTGAAGGATCTGAGGTCCAGATTCCTATGGCGTGGGTCCCAGCCCTTTAGAGGTGTCATACCTGCATCTGATGCGGCAGTGGTTCCTAGCAACGCTCACCCTGAGTGGGCCTCTCCAAGGCAACGTGGTTTTCATCCAAAAACTCTTCAAGTTCATTAGATTTCATGACATTTAATTAAATCCTTATCTTAAAATGACAAGTACTGTCGGAAGTTGTGGCTTTGGGAAAAAAAAAATAGGTGACTGTGAGAGGCGTCCCCTCACCTGGTGGGAGCACGGGGGCAGACCTGGGTGGGTCCCAGGCTTTGTGGAGGGAGCAGAGGACCCTGCCCGGAGGCCCAGGGACAGCTGAGTGGGCGGCCTGAGGACTCGGCTCTCACACTAACTGGGTGAATCCGGTGAAGCCCTGACCTGACCCTTAGGTTCAGTCCATCTGGTTCTCAGTGACCTCAACAAGAGGCCGTGCTGGGTGCTCCTGAACCAGGCAGCAGGGGGCGCCCCAGACCACCTAATGCAGTGGTTCTCAACCTTCTGGCCCTTTCAATACGGTTCCTCATGTTGTGACCCAACCATAACATTATTTTTGTTGCTACTTCATAACTGTAATGTTGCTACTGTTATGAATCATCATGTAAATATCTGATATGCAGGATGGTCTTAGGCGACCCCTGTGAAAGGGTCGTTCGACCGCCAAAGGGGTCGCGGCCCACAGGTTGAGAACTGCTGACCTAATGGGAGCATTGCAGCGCTGACTGAGGAGGACAGGCCCCAGGCCTCCCTGGTGTAGGTGAAGCAGCAGAGAAGGGAAGGGTCCCCCAGGCAGTTGCCCTGGCTGGATTCCTTCCTGCACCGCTGCTGGGCTCTGCAGCCGGCCCTTCTGTCGGTCGGCCCAGTGAACTTGGGAGGGAAGCAGACAGGGTGGCCTTTGTCCTCTCCGTCCACCAGGACCAGAGCGTCTTCTCACCCAGGCAGGTGGGACCTTCGGAGGCCTCTGGTGCGTCCTGTGCAGGTGGGGGCAGGGGCTGGGGGAGCAGGGGAACTGACCCCCCCCACCCCCCCCCCGCCAGGCAGTGGTAGTCACCCAGGCTTCAGAGCAGAGTCACCTGGAGATTTTATAAACACTAACCTGGGCCCTGCGCAGACAGTTACAGTCAAATCCCACCTTAGGAGACTGGGGGCTGGAAACCCCACTGCCTAAAAGATCGGCAGGTGGTCCCGAATGGGTAGCCCGGGTTGAGAACCTCTGCTTTGAAAGCCCGGCCCTGGACCTGCTCAGCACCCTGGTAACCAGATAGAAACGCAGAGTCCCAGGCCCACCACTGAGCTCTTGAATCAGGGCTCTGAGAGATGGGGGCCCAGCGCTCTGCATTCTAAGGTGTCCCCTACGCGATTCTGACCCTGCCCAGGTTGAGAACCTGCCCAGGCCTCGTTATCCTGGCTGCTCTGGGGCCAGCAGCAGAGGCATCTCCTGGGCTGGGATCCTGTTAGGAATGCAGAGTCCAACTTGCTGAATCAGAACCAGCATTTTAACAGGACCCCTGGGCAACCTGTGGCTCTAAGTTCCCCATTGAACAAGAACAATACAAGGCTGGTGTGTGAGCCCAGCAGGGGACGTTGGGGAGTGGCTGCTGAGTGAGGGGGCAAAGGAGTTGTCCTCCGGGGCGGGCGAAAAAGCAGGCCTCCAGGTGGGTCCTCCAGATGAGGTTCTCCAGGGGGGGCCCTCCAGGTAAGACCCTCCAGGTAAGACCCTCCAGGCCAGTTCTGCAGGTGGGGCAAGGGAAGGTCTGCAGTCGGGCCAGTAAGGGAGAGTGGCTTGATGGGCTCAGGAAGAGAGAAAAGGAGGCGTGGGGTCGGGGGGGGGAGCATGAGTGGCAGTGGCTGTGGAAGACCTAGGAGGTCACCCCAGGATGGAAGGTCAGAATGCTAAGGGAGCTGTTGGTGGTGGTTTTGTAAAAGTGTTTTTCCCTACATAAAAGTAATAAATTAAGGATAATATATATACCCAGAAAGAGGAAACAACAGGTATACCCCTAGCTCTACCCTCCCACACACCATCATTGCTCATTGCTCATTTTCTAGGTATAGTTTTTCACTGAATAGTTGTAAAGATGCAGTACATGTAATTTTATTTTCATTTTTCACTTGAATGGGGACATGTGGGCAGACTCTGATGAAGCTGGGGACCTGAACCCTCTAAATTCTGCTGAACCTCCTTTGTCCAGAGAAGCCATCCTTCCTTCCCATCTGGGGGCCAGTCCCCCCTCAACTGAAGAACCTGCATAGTCTCCCCTGAAGTACTTGTCTTGCAAGGGGCTGCTGGCTCCCCTCCGGCCAAGTCCACCGTGTCTCTGCTTGTAGATCTAAGACCAGATCCTGAGGGTTAGATGTGACCTAGAAGATGAGGGACCCAGGAGTCACCACATGTGACCATTTATGTCAACAGAAACCCAGGGAACAGATATGGGGGCCGGGATGGAGGTGATATAAGACTGCATTGACCCGAGGCCTGGCTTGGGTCCACTCGGCAGAGATTCTGGATTTCCTGGCGATGGGGAGTGGCTCGTTGACAAGGGGGCCGATGCAGAAGGAGGCTGAGAGGCCAGACTGTTTGTCCCTGGAAAGGGCAGGTGCCCAAAGGCTTGGGGAGCCCAGGTGTGTGCTGGACGGATCTATCACCCAGGACCTGCTTGCCACCCTTCCCCACCTCCCCCAGCGACATGCGGTGCTCTGTGGCTGTGAGGAACATGTGGGCGAGGAAGCCCTCTGTGGTGACTCGCACTGATGCTGGGGACTGCTGCCCTGGACATGCTCCTGGACTCAGTGGGCGATGGGACCCCTCGGGCAGGGCCAGGGGGCGTGGCTACCATCGTGGGTTTAATCAGGGCAGCCTGACCCACAGAGACCCTGGAACAGCTCCCTTCCCAACACAGATTCAATCACTGTGCTTACATAAGCAGGAGGCGCTGGTCTGCAGATGCAAAGTTGGGCTAGTCACCCCCACTTCCTGCCTGCGACTCGGCTCAGCCTGTTCTGCGGTGGGGGCCCCTGATCCAGGGCTCTCTGGGGGTCCCATCCTGCCTCCCGGTCTCCAGGGCAGCTCTGTGATTACCCTGCTCCTGTGAGGGGGGGATGTCAGCCCCAATGTCAAACTCAGAACATCTTTCTCTCTTGGCGCAGAGGGAGTGCCAGTGTTGAATTCATTCTAAAACCCTCCAAAGGGGCCTGTCCAAGCATGTTTTTCTCCCAATTTCATCTTTGGATGAGATTGCAAAAGTGCCCCCGTGGGATTCCACTGCCAGCAGGGCCACCGGCGCCCTCAGTCTCTGGCAGGAGATGAAATACACTCAGTTTGACGGTTCCCGTAGGTGACGTCTCCGTCCTTGTCCGGCCTTTTATAAAGAGGAGCCTGTGTGCTGGTGGCTGACGCCCATCGGGCTGTGGACTGAGGCTGAGGCACAGGAGCGGCCAGGTAACCTCGGACAGGCAGTTGATTGGGGGGGAGGGAAGGGTGCAGTTTCTTAAATTGTTAAAATTAAGGCCAATGAAACATGGGTTAGCCTCAGAATAATGGCTGGAAGCCACGGAAACTGAAATTGCTGTGAAAACACTGGGAACTTGTCTTTCCACTGGAGCTTCTTCCAGGAGCTGCCACTTTGGGGGTGGCGGGAAGAGCTGGGGCCCCCGGGGGTGGGTGGCCCCACCTTTCTGGTTCCTCCTGCTGCAGGTGGACCTGACCCAGTCCTTCGGTCGCGGGGGGATGTGCCTGGGGAAGATGAAGACCTGCCTGCTGCCCGGGGTGGCCCTCTGCCTCTTGCTGGTGCCTCTGGTGGGTGAGTGGCTGCTTTGTTCCTCTTCGTGCCCCTCGGGGCAGCTGGTGCTCGGCAGGGCCCTGCTCTGAGGCTCTCCTGGCTGACCGCTCTCCTCCTTCTTTGCAGGGGCCAAGCCTGTGCAGGATGAGGGAGGTATTGCATCTGCCTCCGGTTTCTTTTCTCCTGTTGGTGGGGGGCGGGGGCAGAAGAAGGGTTGGGTGGGCACTGCTTCTTCTTCCGAGAAGATGAAGGGGAGCCCTGAGTCAGCTAGAGGTAAAGCCCTGTTTCCAGAGGGACTGGAGCCCCTTCCCCAGACTGTGCCCTCCAGGCCTCTGGGGACACACCAGGCAGGAGGGAGCCAGACTCTGCATGGTGTTCAACCCTCCAAGCCCCTGAGGACGCACATTTCACCCTCAGTACAGTAGCATACAGACTCTGGGGGTGGGGGTGGGGGTGGGGTGTGGGTTCCTTTGATATCCCACCAGGAGTCCCCCACGACCCCACCACAGTGACCCCTCCCTGTTCAGTATGTCCAGGACAGGGGCTAGACTTCCCCCTTCCCCTACCCTCCTCTGTCCTCCTCACCAGGAGTCAGGGCAGGGCTAGCTCATCCCCCACCGCTCCTTGGATGACCAGGCTCCAGGGAGCTTCCAGGAGGCCCCGGGATGACCCAGGCTGTGCTCCCAGCTGGGAGGGTCCCTTCCCTGCACTGGCCCTGCTGGGCACCTCCACCTGCCTGAGGCCCCCCGGGGGGCAACCTGGGCAGGACCAGGGGCACAGCCCCTGAGCCAGGCTGTCATGTGTCTTTCAGACCCATATGCCGAGCTGCCGGCCATGCCCTACTGGCCCTTCTCCACCTCTGACTTCTGGAACTACGTGCAGTTCTTCCAGACGCTGGGGGCCTACCCCCAGATCGAGGACATGGCCCGCACTTTCTTCGCTCACTTCCCCCTGGGAACCACCCTGGGCTTCCACGTCCCCTATCAGGAGGACTGAGGGGTCCCCAGCCTGGTGCCCTGGCCTCATCAATAAACTCCTGACTTAAAATGCACAACACATGCTGTGGCTTTTTTTCAAGACACAGCTGCACTCGGGACCCGTTTGCCTTCTCACCCCACCAGAAACCGATCTAACAAGCTGCAACTAGCTTTTCCATTGAAATAAATAGTAGAAAGGACTATCTATTGAACTGTAGATACTAGTATTTGGACCAGCATCTAACTACAGAAATTGTTACACCTGATCAGAAACGCAGGGCTTTGTGAAACGTGTGTGTTATGTGTTACGTTTGGGTGGGATGGGGGATGGAACGTGATTTCATGCTCCGAGAGGCGTGACAGGTGGTCTTTTAAGATCACTGCTGCAGCTGCTGCTCGGAGCCTCACGCAAGTTATCTCAAGAAGCAGGGAGATTATTGTGCTGGTTCTCACAGCCACAAAGGGCGGGGGTGGGAGGGGACTCTCCCAGGACCCAGGCATATGCGGTGAGAGACCTGGAAAGGGGGAGGTGGCATTGGGGCCCAGAGTGCAGGCCTGGTGCCTCCTGTGGCCACCCCACTGGCTCCATACCTCCACGAGGCTTCCTGCCCTCTCACCTTCACCAGTGGCTTCTCTCCCCGTGGCCCAGGTTAAATTCTCAAGAGGAAGACTCTGTTGGCCGAGCTGATCCTGTTGGGCAAAGCTGATACATTCTTTGTCTCTCTTTTTCTCCCTTTAGCTAGTTTGAATTTGGTTTCTGTAAATTCACTGCAATTTTTTTTTTTAAGTCCTGATTCCTACAATAGCTGGACATGAGGATTGGTCTTAAATTCCTACTGGGGACAACTGGGCCTCAACCAAACATATCAGAAAAAAGACACCCTGACAGGAGTATCTCCATACCAATGACTTGCCTGTCAATTCGTGTGTGTGTGTGTGTGTGTGTGTGTGTGTGTGTGTGAACATTTACGTTCCACCCAAATTCTTGTATCCCCAGTTAGGACAAGCATTATGGAATGGAGTCCCCAGCTGCCTCTCCATAGGATGCCCTAAAGGCTGGGTGCCTTTCTAGGCAGATTCCATGGCTCCCTGGCCAGACCTATGTCCCCTCTGGGGTGTCAGCAGCATCCCAGTTGCCCAGGAACACACAGCTGGGCTGCATTTATGGGTCGTGAAAAGCCTAGCAGACCTTCCTTCTTTTCACAGAGGAAGAAACCTCTACCCCCAGGTCACCCTCAGCAGATCCCTACCTCCCCCCACCCCCACCCCCACCCCAGCCCATAAATAGCAGGCTGCCTACCTCACAGCCCCCTGGGATACCTCACTCTGGTGTTTAGGACTCAGGTTTGGCTGTGATTCCCTCTCACCCAGGTTCAGTTCCCTTCTATGCAACCCTCTCTCGGTTTCCCCTTTCAGTCAGATCCAACTCCTGCTCCATGTCCTCAGCCCCCTTCACCCCTCAACCCACACACAAAAAGCATTAGCCACTGCCATCATCACTGGTACCTGATGGCCATGGGGACCACAATCCATGGTGATGGTTACCTGAGCTGCTTCTATGGTTAAGCTATTGTGACTGATGCTGCTGTGAATATGGGTGTGCAAATTATCTCAGAACTCTGCTTTCAATACTTTTGAGCCTATACCCAGAAGTGGAATTGCAGGATCTCATGGTAACTCTGTGTTTAATTTCGGAGGAGAACCGCCATACTGTTTTCCACCTCTGCTGCACCATGTAGGTTCCCACCAACAGTGCTCAGAGCTCCAGTTTCCCCACATCCTCCTGACTCTGTTATTTTCTGGGGTTTTGATAGCAGCCATACTGATGGCTGAGGAGGTATCACTGTGGTTTGATTTGCATTCCTGGTGATCAGTGCTGTTGAGCATCTTTTCATGGGCTTTTGGCCATTCTTGTACCTTCTTTGGAGAAAGGTCTATTCAGGTCCTTTACCCGTTGTCGAAGGGGGTTATTTGTTGTTGTTGTTGAATTTCAGTCCTCTGTACATCTGGATATTAATTCTAATATCAGGTATATGATTGGCAAATCTTTTCTCCCATTCTGGGCTGCCTTTTGACTCTATTGACCATCCACATTCTTTAATGAGTACTTCTTGGGCACTCTCTGTGCCAGACCCTTTGGGCTGACCACCTGGATGCCACTGAGCAGCTCCCCTTGTGCCCTGACAGGCAGGCGGGAAAGCCCACCCACTTCAGCCGGGACTCGGGGCCAAGCCTGTGGGTCCATAGGGAAACATAGAGTCGGGGGTCCTCCGACATCTAGAAACACCAGATAAAGAGGAGAGAAAGGGAAGGGGAATACCATAGAGTCGGCGATCCTACGGCGTCTAGACGTGCCGCGGCAGGATGCGTACCGGAAGAGGCGGGCAGATGGCCGGAAGTGGGCCAGGGACACCCGGAACGCCTTGGGGGAGATGAAGCCGGCGGTGGACGAGATGTTCCCCGAGGGCGCCGGGCCCTACGTGGACCTGGATGAGGTGAGGCGGGTGGCTGCGGGCCGGGCGGAGCGGGGCGAGAGAAGGCGACGGTCCAGTGAGAGGTGAGGACCGTGCGTGTGTGGGGGCCGGCGTCCCGGGACCCGACAGTGCCCTCCATGCCGAGGACCGCCGGTGCCTGCGGCCTGATGTCGGATCGCCCTGAGTGACTGCGGAGGCCGCACGCCCGGGGCCGCGGGGAACGCGAGGGGCGTCGGGGTAACGGAGGACGGTAGCGTCTCGTCTGCGGGACTGCGGGACGAGAGACCGGAGCGAGGCCGGTGCCGCACGGGAGCTGGGGGAGGGCCGTTTGGCGTTCAGTGACTGCACTTTGATGGGACGGTCTGCGGCGTGAGCCTCTCCTGCGATTACTAGTATCCGGGGGTGCGAAGCGGCCCTTGCGCGCGCGTCACCCCATCGCGGGATCAGTCTGCTGCCCCGCGCAGCTCCCGGGCCCGGCCCGCCGCCCGAGGTCAGAGCCGCGTGTTCTGAAAGTGCAGGGGGACGCGCGCCCGCAGGTCGTGGTAGTAGAGCGCCGGTTGCAGAGACTGGTGGGGTGGAAAGTTGGAGGTACCCCGACCGCAGCGCCCTCTGCCCTCTGGGCGGCCCAGTGAAGGCTTAGGAGAGCCGACCGCAGCCAAACACTGGCCCGCGCTGGCGTCGGCCAAGTGGAGGAGGGTTCAGAAAGGAGGCCTGGCTGGAGGGGTCCGGAAGGGTCCCAGTGTAGTTTAGCACCTTCGGGTGCCTGAGAGAGCTGGGCGCGAAGGGAGCTGGGGAAGGTGCCTGGCTGGTCATGAGGCGCGGGTAGCCCTGCTGGGTGGGTTCCCTGCACCCACTCAGGGCACTTCCACCAGCGTGGGCTGCTCAGGCCTGTGTTCAAGTCACTGCCCTGGGCAGCCTGGAACCACCGGGGGTATTGATAGGCTCCCATCCCCAGAGTTTAGGGAACAGGAGGCTTGAAGGGGGTCTGAGTGAAGGTCATACCTATAGATGGAGGTAGGGACAAGCCCCACACAGTACATTAGGGGGAGAGTTCACATGGCTTGTGGTGATGGGGAAGGGAGGAGGTGGAGAATCCTGGAAATGTCTCCCTGCTACGGAGAGCAGGGTGCGGGGACACATGAGAGGCTTTGCCTACTGGGAGCCAGGAAAGGTGCAGCAGAAGCCCTGGGAATGTTGGGAATCCAGGCGCAGCAGGGACTGGGGGCCAAGGTACAGAGTGCTGCCTCGGAGCTCTCTCCAGCCCTCACCCTGCGAAGCTGAAGGAGACTGCTGATCCTGCGCTCATCAGGTTGCCCAGCTCTGGTTGTGGCTTGGTTTTACTGCCACCAGAGTTCTGGCACGCGAGGCTCTGAACCCCGGTTAGCAGGTCGGTTCCCGGGGAAGATGGTTTAGTTCTCCGAAGGAGCAGGGAGCAGTCCAGAGCAGAGCAGGGCTCACACTCAGTGTTGTGGGTTTGTGGCCTCTGTGGCAACGCCCAGTAGGATTTCAGAATCCCTGCTGGAGGTTTCGGGAGAAGTGGTGCTCAGGGCAATGGCAGGGCTCTCTGAAGGGCAAGGAGGGCTTTAGGAATGTAGGACCCGAAAGACCAAAACCATTCACACCTCCATCCACATCCACTCCTTCACCTGGACCAAAATTTGGACTCGGACCTGGGCACTTCTCTGTCCCTCGCCTTCCTCCTGTGTGGAGTGGCGCGGGCCCTGTGAGGCTGTTCTCTCTGGAAATGCTGCTGGCACACCTGACCTCTCCCTTCTGCAGGCCGGAGGCAGCACCGGGCTTCTGATGGACTTGGCAGCCAATGAAAAGGCAGTTCACTCGGACTTCTTTAATGGTAAGGTGCAGGGTTGGGTGCCAGTTTTAATCAGGACGTTTCTTCTGCAAGCTGTGCAGTGGAGCGACTTGGTGACACAAGTGATTTAGATCATGGAACAGTAAAACCCAGATCCTGTGCCATTCTCATAACACAGCACAGTTTATATAAAATAACAGTGTGGCTGTTACCACTGGCAGCCAGCCCTGTTTCTCAGAAGAGGAAAAAAATAGCATAAAATTGCTCCCAGTCTTACATTCCAGGCATTGAGTTTGAGCCGTAGACACGCTTTTGGACACACGACGGCAGCTGGGTTTGGACAGTGACCTGAGTTGCAAGGCACGAGGACCTGTCTGGCTTCCTCATCCCGCTGTCTCTGGGTGGCTGGTTTTCTCGCCTTTCTGTTTGCCACTGGTCCCATCCCTGCGCTGCCTTCACAGAGAAGCAGCCACTCTCCAGCCTCACCCACCCCACCCCCAAGAACAGAGGCATTGGTATTTAGACCTTCGTTGCCAAGTACACGAATATGTGTGCAGCTTTAACAAAACACAGTGAAGACTTTATATGAGATCTTCATGCACGTTAGAGGAGCTGTTTTTCTTGATCTCACCGAGTGTTCCTAAGACCTTGTTCCTAAGATTATGTTAACTCTTACTGAGGGTTCAAGTCGTCAGTAGAAACAGATAGTTTCCTTAGGGGGGTTGAATGGTGTTTTCTCCCTTTGTCATCCTTTATCCCAAGGTGCCTGCCACTACAAAGAACTTTTGTCACTCGTTAGTGGCAGCTACGATGTTATCTTGTCCGTCACATTGGTTTTCAGCGTATCTAAGACCCTCGAAAGCCTGAGTCCAGGCGATTTTCTTGGCTCCTTTTCAGCCAGTCGTTGCCTAAAAGGAGAACTAGTCTGCCTAGGTAGGTACAGACTTCCCAGGGAGCCTGGCTGTTCCCCTGAAGCAACGTCCTGGCTGCCACCAACTCCTGTCAGAACTGGGGGAAGTGACACTTGAGCCAAACCTTGAGAACAGAATAGCATTTGTCTCAATTCTCTAAGCAAGGGGGTGTGGGAAACAAATTGTGAAAGGGGCGAGGCCTTTCCTGAGCAGCCTGTGCAAAAATGCCAGCTCACATAGCACGGCTTCGGAGGCCCCTTACCCTGGCCCCGCAGAAGTGTGACCTCTAACTTCTAACACCACACATTCTGATGACCTCCTTCAAAGCCTGACACATCCTCCACCAGCCCATAGCTTTAAACACAATGATGTTCCAGTGTTCATGTGATTTCCAAACATAGCTCCTATGAGAAAGCATCTGTGAGAGGGGCCCAGCGAGCATTTATCAATGGCAATTTAGGGCCCTTACCTCCTTGAGTCAGGCCAGAGTAGAACACAGAAGAGCTGGTGCCCACGTCAGAGGCCCACCGACTGTTCACAGGTGCACACTGCCTGTCAGCTTGTGAGCACCCGTGTTCAGAAGCCATCACTGTAAGAGGGCCATGCGGGCTTTAGATGGGGTCTCCGAGTCCTTTCTGCTCATTGACTGGGGTTCCTATGGCCTGTGTCCCACAGGCAGTAGGGTTCTAACCATGGCCGAGGCTCATCCTCTTCACTCACTGTTTCACAAAACAGAGCAGCACCAGACAGGGCGCAGGTAGGGACAGTTCCATGGCAAGAGCCCCGACAAAGGTGGACAGCATTGTTTCTAGGAGCTGACACCTGAGCAGAGGTTTGGAGGGTGTGAGGGTTAGGTAGGGTTGAGAACGCGAGTGCTCACAGCTACAGGACCGCTGGCCAGGCCAGGCAGTGAGAGAATGCAGGCGTTGGTGGGACTGACTGTCATTGTGGCTGGAGAGGCATGAACGCAGGGTGAGGGGATGCCAGCCAGGCTGCTGTCTCCTGGCACCCCCGCCCACCCTCTCTAGCTCGTCACCACTGCATCTTCTCAGTGCATAGGCCACATGAATGGGCTTTGTACAAATTTTTCCCGTTGCAAAAGGATACATGTCCGTGTTAGGAAATTTAGAAGAAAATATATATAAAAGTAAATGAAAGGGGAAAACGATCGTGACTTTGTCCACCCATCGCAGTAAGTAGAGTGCTGTGAAAGGGTGGCGTTTCTGCCTGTAGGAACAGGGCTTAGACTGTTTCTCGAGCTTGTCTGTCGGTCTGACTCCTTTAAAGAGAGTCATTCTCACATGGCTCAGGCCTTCCACCACCTCCCCCCCACCCCATTTTCCTTCTCATGGAGAGTGGTGAGGGGCTTGTGCCCTTCAGCTGCCTGGCCTTACCTCCATGTCACCAGAGTGGGGCTTTGGCCAAGGTGCTCACAAATGGGTGCTGACATGTCCTGGTGCTCAGTCATGGCTGGGAGATGTCACCATGTGGTCGGGAACACGCCCTGATGCATTTCTTCAGCTTGTCATCTGAGTAGAAACACGACAGGTTGTGTTCTAGACAGCACTGCCCTTGGGCTGCATCTGAGCCTGGTGGGTAGAATCGAGTCTGTCCTAGGAGAAGAAGCCCTTTCTGTAATGACCACATAACTCATTGTGAAGTCATCTTTCAGTCGTTTACCCTGTGTGCCCAACTGATGCGTGATTCTGTTCGTCTCTGTAGATTTTGAAGATCTCTTTGATGATGATGACATCCAGTGAGGCGCTGTCCCATGCTGCGTGTGGTCAAGCCTTTGCTGCGTGAGCATGTGTTGGAGCCCTCAGGACAGTCCCATGGTTCTGCAGAACAGGGGGGAACACCTGAAATGAGCAGATGGTTAACTGAGAAAGGACGGTTTCAGCCATCTGGGTGAGGTCATTCCATCTCTGAATGTGACCAACTGTTGTCCTTCAATTAAAAAAGCGATGTCATCACTACATGGTGATTTTCATTCTCGCATTTCTGAGTGAATGTTGCAGTCCCTAAAGCTCCCTTTGTGCATGTGCGTGCATGTGTGTGTTGGCGTGCTGAGAGGAACGCGGTGGTGGCACAGAAATCAGTGCACTGCTTCCTGTGTGCAGTGCTGAGTAATTTGGATGGTTCGCGAAGGGGGAGTTGGTGTGAGACCCGTCAGCAATTTAGGGCATGCAGGGGTCCTGGTTGCACTGTGGGGGCAGGCTCTGATCCCCTCCCTGCTGCACAGTCCCCCACCGGCGCCGGACTTCGTGTTTTCCCACCTTCACATTAGAGCAGCTGCTGTCCCCAAACCTGAGGTCCGAAAAATCAGGACAACTAGCTAATGACAGAAGGAAACACTTTCTACATGAGAAATGTGTGCATTGGTCCATTACTAAGGAGAATGTAACATCTAAGGGGATTAAGTTTTTTAAAGTTTCTTACTGGTCCAGCTCAGCAATTCATAATGACTGTAAAAATTAAGATTACTATTTCAAATCAATCTCAAAGTAAAGATATTTCCTCGCTAGGAAATGCCCCTGCCACAGGACTTAGTAGTCCCCAGAGTTAAGCAGAGCCACTTAGTAGGTGAGCCAGATACACCAACCTCTTCCATGAGAACTTGCTGGCCGGCATCGCCCTGATGGCCTCTTGATGAGAGACGTTCTCACTGGAGACCAGGGGAGGTTTTGCACAGGGAGTGTTACCTCAGCCTCATTTGTGAGTGCCGAGTGGGCTTCAGTCTGTCACTGTGACAGTGCACCTGTCCTGAGAGGGCGTAGCAGCCCCAAGCCCCGAGAATAGTTGTCCAGTGTCCCTGGAGAAGTGCGGACTGTTGTGTCTGAAAACCCTTCACCTGAAGCTCACTTAGCCCTGGGTCGCAATGGAGACTGCTGCTCTGTGTTGGGTCTCACCGTTCAGACCTCAGGGTAGTGTGCAGCCTGGTTTCAGAGAGCAGCGATTCTCAGCCGTGTTCTTGAGGTTACTTCATGAGCAGTTTTACAGTTTCCTAACTGGGCTCCCAAAACAGGCCTAGGAGATTCAGTAGGAGAGCAAGTAGGTATTCGGGTAAATTCTTTAGTGACCAATGATTACCCTATGGCAGCAATTTTCCACCTTTTTCATCTCATGGCACATAAACTAATGACAAACTCTGTTGCACATCAAAAATGTTCTTTGCTGATCTGACAATAAAATAGGTATAACTGTTCATTCACACTGGATGGCTATTGATTGTTGTGTTCACTGTTGTCTTTTTTTTTTTTAACTTGGAAAGTAAAAGAGGTCAGTGCCCTGACTAAACAGTCAGGTATTGCATGTTGTAAAATTTTTGCGGCACACTGGTTGAAAATTGCTGCTCTACGGTCATCGTTGGGAAATTTACAAGAGTCTGAGGGTCTTGCACTGCACTGTGGATACAGCTCAGACCTGCCAGTGGCCCCCCATTTGTCCCTGTGGGGTTCTGGGGATCAACTCCCTTCCTGCTTGGGCCTCAGTTTCCTCATTGGTAAGTGAAGCTCTTGGTCCGGGAGGTCCCTTCTAGTTCCCAGGTCTCTGGTCTACGGCAGGAAGGGGTGATCAAGGCCCTGTGTTTCCTATCCCAGACTCTGAGCACTCATCATTCTCACATCAGCCCCACTTGACCTCCTACAGTCTGCCTGGGATCACAGCATTGTGCAAATATGCCCCTCTGCTGGGGCTGCCACACACACACGTGACGCCTGCCACCACCCCAAGGACAGGGAGCCTGACTGGTCCTTGATGTGCTGCCTGATCGGGGACAGAGGTGCCAGACCCTGGTCCTTGGTGAAAAGCTGCATTCCCTGTCCCTGGAGATCATAGTGCCAGGAGACAAATGGCAGACTTGGAAGGAACACAGGACACCTGGCTCACAGACAAAGGGCTGGGGTGTTCATAGTTACCAATGTGAAGAACTTAGAATGGCATGAACCAAGTGACATGTGAGAAATGAATGGGCACAGGACACTGAAAAGACAGTTTACAGAGAACCAACCCCAAAGGCCAGTAACTACAGGGTGGGGTGTAGGTTTACACTTGTGAGTACAAAAAACAGAGTTTATTCTTATGTTATTATTTATTTCCACGTGAACAACTGTAGACCTACTTTGCCCAATCCTTACATATGGCATGTACACGTATATGTACCATTCCACTCGCCTTCTCCTAGATCCCACCTTAGCCCACGGACTGTGATGATACATGTGTGTATGTGATCACGTGTGTGAATTGTTTCACAAAAGTTTGGGCTCATAGTCCCATGGGCAGGATGGTAAATGAATAGCCTGTGCAATCGCAGTGTGAAAGTTGTGAGCAGGGGGCAGGGACAGGCCCCACCCAGAGGATGCCCTTGGAGGTGAGCTCCAGATGGCAGGAGGAGGAGAGGGAGAATTAAGAGAGAGAGAGAAGCCCAACTGTGTGCAATGTTCAGGAGCAGGGGCAGGTGGCCAGTGGGGTGGCTGTGAGGGTGGGTGAGGGGGTCCCCAGCAATGGTGAGGGGTGCTGGGGTGGAGGGATGGCCTTTCTTCCTGTCTTCTGGGTCTGCCCAAGTTTGCAGCTGAAGCAGAGAAGGAAGGCCTACCTTCCAAGGTCAAGGGCCACTAACTCACAGAGCTCCAAAGCAGGGACTGATTTCACAGCCGAGTCCCCGAGCTTGGAGAGATTGTCAGCCAGGGTCTGGCAGACCCACAGATTGGGGTGCTGGTTTCCCTGAAGAAGGTGAGCTAGGCTCTTTCAGAGATGGTGCCTCTCTTCAGCTGGAATCAGCCCCGCAGGGCAGTGATTTCTGTGCAGCTAGAATTCACCTGCGCTGTGGCACTAGAGATGGATTTGCACAATTTGAGAGTCATTTGTGAGTCGATAGATGGAAGCACCCTACAGGAAGAGATCTGTGTGGGGACCCAGGGTGATTTGTTCCCACCACTGTCCTTGGATGGTGGAGTTGGTTTTGTTTTGTTTGTTTGTTCTCTTTTTCCTTTTGAATCAACTTTAAACATTATTTTGCTGAGACTTAATTTATCCTGTCACTTGGAAAGCTCACTCCATCCCCAACTGTGCCCAGTGCAATTAAGTCAGTGTTGAAATAACCTGCTGGAACTTTTGCTGAAACAGGAGAACCACTGAGCCTGCCATGATAACAACATTTAGAGAGTGAGCTGTATTTTTTCCTTAACATCTTGCTGACGATTGTAATAATCCCCAAAGATCCGCTCTCTGAAGGCCAGCTTTGAGTCCAGCGCTGTGTCCTCAGCACGTTCCGGGGGTGGGGGTGGGTGGATAGTGCACTCAGTTTGCAGATGAACCAACGACCTCACCGAGGACCGGGCAGAGCAGGACACTCGGGCCCAGGCCATGGTTCCACCCTCCAAGATGTGAGACCTGAAGGAAGTTACATAACTTCCCTGCCTCTGTTTTCTATCTACACAAATGAAGGTTACACTTAGCTCAAGAAAATAAAAATTTCTGGTCAGCAAAAACTGTCATGGAGCCCTGGCCAGTTTGGCTTAATAGTTAGATCATTGGCCCATGGACTGAAGGGTCGTGAGGTCAATTCTGGATCAAGGGCATGTACCTCAGTTGCAGACTCAATCCCCGGCCCAGTAGGGTGCTAGTGGGAGGCAACTAGTCAATGTGTCTCTCTTGAATAGATGTTTCTCTCCCTCTCCCCTCTCCTTTCTTCCTCCCTTCCACTCTCTCTAAAGATCCATGGAAAAGTATCCTTGGGTGAGAATTAAATAAATAAATAAAAAGCTACTGTGGAGGAGTCGTCTAGCCGTGGACTGAGGAGAAGGACAGTACCCATGGGTGCATCTTGCCCTGTGTACTGAGGGAGAGTAGCCCGACGAGTCCAGGTCCTCTCCCACTTGTATGACGTCCCAGTGCAGACAAAGCTCACCCTGGGGATGCAGGTCAGAGAGTGGTGGCCTTGAATTAGTGGAGGTGGCAGGGGAGGAATTCACTGGAAATGTGGGGGGATTACATGGTTGTATTTAACTGTCAACACTCATCAAACCAAATGCTTGAGATCTGGGCATTTGCATACGTGCACATTGTACATCAATAATTTTTTTAAAAGAAAAGCTTATCAGTCAGCTCTGGCTGTCATCATTAAATGCCACAGACAGGGCGGCCTAAACAATGGAAATTTATCTCTTCAATGTTCTGGGGGCTGAAAGTCCAAGATCAAGGTCCTGGCAGGGTTGGTTTCTGGTAAGAACTTTCTTCTTGGCTTACAGATGGCCACCTTTGTCCTGTGTCCTCTCATAGCCTTTTCTCTGTGCAGGTGGGCTCCTGGTCTCTCTTCCTCTTTTTTTTTTTTTTAAATATATTTTATTGATTTTTCACAGAGAGGAAGGGAGAGGGATAGAGAGTTAGAAACATCGATGAGAGAGAAACATCGACCAGCTGCCTCCTGCACATCTCCTACTGGGGATGTGCCCACAACCAAGGTACATGCCCTTGACTGGAATCGAACCTGGGACCCTTCAGTCCGCAGGCCGACGCTCTATCCACTGAGCCAAACCAGTTAGGGCCTCTCTTCCTCTTATAAGGTCACCAGCCCCATTGGATGAGGAGCCTACCTGAATGACATCATTTAGCTGTAATTCCCTCTTAAAGGCCCCTTCTCTGAAACACAGTCCCATTGGGGGTTGGGGTTTCAACATATGAATTTGGGGGGAACATGATTCCATAACAAAAAGACTTTTATTTTTTTAATTAATTAATTAAATCTATTTTTATTGATTTCGTGGAGAAAGTTGGGGATTTTAGGAAAAATAAAACAAATAGGTTTATAATTTTGCCCTGCTCTAGGTAGGTGTCCATAGTCAGAACCTAAAGGAGAAAAGACACTACTCCTGCTTTGTTCACAAGGCAGAAAACAAGAATTTTCAAGAGGTTATTTCCTGCCCAATTGGCATGGCTCAGTAGTTGAGCATCGACCTATGAACCAGAAGATTACAGT